GCTGTGTTATATTTGATCTAAGTAACACGAAAATATACAAATTAATAAGTTCATGAGATAAAAGTGAGAAATTTATAAATAAAGTAACATTATTTTCATAGGAAATAATGATTAAATCAACATGAATATCTTTAACGTAAAGGATGGATATAGTAAACACAATTTCTAGTTGCATTTACCCTGAGAGCAAATTTAAAAACATAGCAATTATTTAGTAACATGGATTGTAACTATAGTTTAGATAATGAAGACAATAAATTAGCTAAGTTACCTAAGAATTATTAAGGAAAGTATAGCTGTTTTGGATAAGCTTTATGGGATCGTAGAGTTATCGTTTATGTAAAACACAAATAAAGCGAATACAAATAAACGTCAAAAAAGGTTGTGCGATATAAAGGATCCTTATAAGGCTTCTGGCCTGAGTTATCCCGATTGAAAAGAATACGAATAAAGGAATGGATTGAGTAGAAAAACATCGAGTTATAAAAAATTAATTTCTTCATGATTAGTAAACTAGTAACGAGTTCGTAAGTAAGTGTAAGGATTAATTAAAGTATTAATGAGTTTGTGATGCAGGTTGATGAAAGTATGGATGAGGCCATGCCTGCGTTGATTGGTAGATAGATAATTTAAAATCAAAGCTAACGAGTAGGGATAGAAAAGTACATTAATTAGACGATTATTATTTGGATATATTATTGTTTCAATAATTCTATTTACTATTAATTCGAAGATGGAAAAAGTACATTAATTACATAATTGGATAACTACAATGCATGGGTAAGCTTATAACCTGATTCATTTGTGTCATGTTGGCCCGTCTGGCTTGAAAAAGGACAGGTCCAAAGCATATGGCCAAGCATTGGAAAGAAATCTGGTTGAACTGGCAAGCGAAAACCACGCGGAGGAGATGGTGCACAAGAAAGACGAGACTTGCCCATCGACAGGCAGCGTGCCCTTGCAGCAATAAGGAAAGAGATTCGTAAAAGTACGAAAAATTAGTATGAATGAAAATTGAGATAATCATAAAGGAGCTTAAAAATATCACATAAGATAATGCCTTTTGGCATAGAGATCAGTATATTATCTCTTTGATATAATCAGATAATTAAATTAAGGGGTGACTGTCAAACAGCTAACCTAATCGAAAAGTGGGGTCCTCCGGAGATAGGCCGTCTGAATG